ATCAAACCATCTCATCCTCTGTTGCCCTCTTCTTCTCTGCCTTCAATCTTTCCCAGCATCAGGGTCTTTTCCAGTGAATCAGTTCTTCCCATCACGTGGCCAACGTATTGGAGCTTCAGCTTCAGCGTCAGTCCTTCCAATGAACAGTTAGGACTGATGTCCTTTAGGATGGACTGGTTGGATCTCTTTGCAGTCCAAGGGACTCTCAAGAGTCTTCTCCAACACCACAGTTCAAAAGCATCAATTCTTCAGTGCTCAGCTTTCTTTATAGTACAACTGTCATATTCATACATGACTATTGGAAAAACCATAGCTTTGACTATATGGACCTTTGTTGTCTAGTAGTATCTCTGCTTTTTAATATTGAGATAAATGAAGAATTTTGTTTGTTTTTTGAAGAGAAAGTATGCTGTGTTTTATGTCCCCAAGGCATTGTTGGGTGGATATTCCACTGCTTGAGAAACGTGATTACTTTAGATTCCATTCTGCCATCCCTTTTCAGGATACAAATGAGGTAGTCTTCAAGTAGTTTACAAATCATGGGAACAAACCAAAAGAAAGGTAAAGGTGAGATCCAGGTGAGAGAACAGTGTTGCCTAAACCCAGGTCTGCTGAAAGCTTTCTTTGTGCAACCTAAACAAGCTTGTTTGATTGGAACAGAGCTGTAACTAGTGTGTTTCAGTCACAATGAAGATAATCAAAGAGCATTTTTATTGTCTGTTAAGTTAATAAAATTAAAAGAGAACATTGTTATTTTTCTTTAGAGGGATTTTACATGAGTTTTTAAAATATTGATGAACCCCAAATTGAACAATTGTGATGAACCTAAAATTACTCAGAAACTTAGGAAGAACCAAAAAAGCCATGTTTTTCATGTGCCTTGTTTGAAGGAACAAATTACCTGCCAGTGAAGTGATTGTAATTTGAAATACATGTACCAGAAGACTCACAGAATGATGCCTTAAATAAGTCACTGGTGCATTTAAAGTATTTGTTTCTACCCCAACCCCTTACTGCTGAAAGTGAGGTGTAGCTTTATCCACTTGTGAGAAATACAGATGCAGCCTATTGATTCAGTGAACATCTGTTGAAAAGCACCTGGGTGCTGGGCTCTGGGCAGAACAGGGGTGAGGTCCCTGCCCCCGAGGAGCTTGTGGGTCTCAAGGGGAATGTGATGTGAGCAGAAATAGGGGTACACAGGGAGACAGGGTTTACTGTGATGCAAAAGGGGAAGTGATGAATCTTGGGGTCCAGCTTATTAGGAGGCAGGAGGGCTTCCGTGAGGAGGTGAATAAATGTTGTGAAAAAGCTGATCTAAGATGACTGCAATGAGAGAGTGCAGGTGGCTTTTAATTAATCATAGAGTCATTTAACAATGTAAATGTATGGGTATTTTGTAAGTGCTGTGACGCCATGGGCTACAGAATGCCAGGCTTCCCTGTCCTTCACTAGCTCCCAGAGTTTGCTCAAATTCATGTTCATTGAGTTGGTGATGCTGTCTATCTATCTCATCCTCTGCTGCCCTCTTCTCTTGCCTTCAATCTTTCCCAGCATCAGGGTGTTTTCAAGTGTCAGCTCCCGTCACTCTAGGTGGCCAAAGTATTGGAGCTTCACCATCAATCCTCATAATGAATTTTCAATGTTGATTTCCTTTAGAATTGACTGGTTTGATCTCCTTGCAGTCAAAGGGACTCTCAAGAGTCTTTCGTACATATGCCCATATGTTTGGTACATAAACATTATACTCATGTATTTCTTTCTTTGGCTAATCAATATTTACTTGAAGTACTAAGTAATCAAGGGCTGTATCTATTGCAGTAAGGTTTGCAGTTCATCATTTCACTTACTTTGCTTTTAGAGCTTTTAAATTTTCAAATATTAAGGGCAATTCTTTGTAACTTTCATTTCTGTTGAATTCCAAACAAATTATAGTGACAAATTAAAAAAAAAAAACCTTAAAGGCATTGAATCCAAATACCTGCTTTGAGATCCTAATTCATGTCAGAGGCTTACCATCTTCTTTTGCATCTCAATTGGAAATAGCTTTTATTTCAGTGAGGTGCATATTGAAGAATAATCTTTAAAAGTATGAACTATGCATTTATTTTCCCTTTGGTGGCTATGAATTAAGATTTTGTTCCTTTCACATTTTGCCTATCTGTTTTGCCCACCAGAATTCGTTACTTGTCTTACTTTTTCTAGATACCACTGAAGGTCTGTTTTTAAGCACTGGGCCTGTTGAACTTTGTTATTGAGATAGTCAAACTACATTTTGAAAATGTCAGTTGTTTGGAAGCCGTTTAAGGATGGGGGAAATTAGTGAGCCTCAGGGAAAGCAGAGGTGGCTTTCCTGCAAAGCTTTTTGGTTCATAGTTGTATCTGTAAACAAAAGTAGGAACCTGATGTTTTAAGGCCAATGTGGTATATAGTATGTGGACTCAGCCCAAGTAGTGATGGTGTGGGATCTTCTTAAGTGGTGCTGTTGACTCATCACGAGTCACTGATCAAGGCAGCGTGGTGGTTCTGTGCTAGGCCTGCTGACGTGCGAGACTGGCGCTGGACCAGGTGATGGTCAAATGCCGGTCTGCTGCCGGTGAGTGTATTGATTGACCAGTTTCACTGCTGGAGACTGTTTGTCATGAGATTAGATGACTGTGTTATGTTTGTGGTTTTCTTTTCACCTCACCATGCTTGTTTTATTTTAAAGTGGAATATATTTAGTTGTATAGGAAATAAAGTTTGCAGTGCTGTGTTTTCTGTATGATTGATAACTATCATCCCGTGAATACCCATTATTTAAATTTTTAAGTTTGTTTTTGACACATAAAAATTCTACCTATTCATGTTATTCATTGTGATGTTTTGGCATAGGTATGCATTATGAAATGACTACCACAATCAAACTAAGAAAAAGAAATCCTTTTAATAACTTGTTTGTCAGCTGCCTTCAAAGGCTGTAGTCTCTTAATGAAGTGAAAGGGAAGGAGAGTCCCTGGGTGGCTCAAGTACTGCCTTCAGCCTGAGGGCAGGCAGGTCTCCAAAGAGTGGTTTTCAGATTGAATCAATTAAACCACAGCTTGTCATTGTGAGTATCCTGTCCAAGGAAGTCAAGCCAGAAGTTCTTGGTCGCAGTGCTTTGAACCCAGTGAGTCCTACCTAGGGTTCCCAAAGCAACTCTGGCTCGTTGCTGAGAGGGTAGATCGCTCACAAACTAGGACTCCACTTTTTAACCTTGCATGGATCAAGTCACTGATTTTGGTTTTTTTGTTTTGGTCTTGATAGACTTTATTAATAAAAAATTATTGAGCAAGTAGCTCGGTGCTCTGTGATGACCTAGATGGGTCGGATGGTGGGGGTGGGGGAGTGAGGCTCAAGAGGGGATGTTTATATTAAAAAATTACTGAGAAAATATTTAAACACATATTACCCATGTAAACTGAAGGCAGGAGAAGGGGACGACAGAGGATGAGATGCTTGGATGGCATCACCGACTCAATGGACATGAGTTTGAGTGAACTCCGGGAGTTGGTGATGGGCAGGGAGGCCTGGCGTGCTGCGATTCATGGGGTAGCAAAGAGTCGGACACGACTGAGGGACTGAACTGACTGACCCACATAGCACTGTATAGTTTTCTGAGGAAGATAATAGAAATCTCATTCTGAGTCCCTGGTCTCCAGAACTTTGTCATCTAGTTATATATATCTACAGAGATAACAGCATCCTTTTGTTTGTTCTGTTGTTAAGATATTAATGAGTAGTGTTGTATTCAAAAGACAGTCTCTGTGCCTATCTAAAAAGATAGTTGTTGTTCAGTTGTTGTTGTAAGTCATGTCTTTGTGACCCCATGGACTGCAGCACACCAGGCTCCCTGTCCTCTGAATTCTCCTGGAGTTTGCTCCAATTCATTTGTCCACTGGGTGGCTGATGCTATCTAACCATCTCATCCCTTCTCCTTTTGACTTCAGTTTTCCCTAGCATCAGGAAAAAGATAGATCTGTAGCTAATTCATATTCTTGAATAATCCATGATGACAAAATATGGAAACAAATGCCCTGAATAAAAAAATTACACTGTTAGGAGTCATTTCCTTTGAAACCTTTAAAAATATACTCCCAATTTCTTTAAATGATTTACTGTGAAGTATTTCAGACATGCAAAACTACAGAAAGACTCCTGTAAGGAGCCCCTGCGCTCCCACCACCCACTTAAAGACATACAACATGGAAGCTGGAGTTGGAGCCTGCTTGTACCCCCTCCCCCTCTTGCAGCCCCCCTTCCTAGGGATCACTTGGACTTCATCTAGGGAGTTCTGTATGGAGGCATAATAGAGTCCCAGTCAGGATCCAAGTTCCCCCATTACTTCCCGGATAAAGTTTTCGTCTTTAGCTTGGCTTTCAGAGGACACTGCGTTCTGGCTGAGCTCTCCTTCCGGTCCGCTCGCGCCAGCTCCCTGACTGCGTGCAGCCTGGCTGTGACCAGGCCCTGCCAGGCACACCCATGCTGGCCCCAGACGCCCGCTCCATCCCTTCATTCCCCTCTTCATGGTCATCCCTTCATCACCTCCCATACTGTTACCACACCTAACACATGCTGCTGCAGCTCTGCGGCTGACAGGTCTTTAAAATAGACTGTGTTTTCATAATATTTACATTGTGTTTCATCACAGTTGCTGTGTGCACGCCTGTGTCTCCCCCTGTAGGCTCTTTCCTTATGAACAGGGTTTCAGATATTGTGAGAAATCAGTAAAAATTCCGGAGGATGACTGATCATTGTTTCTCTTAATGACCATTAACCTGCCCTGTGCGCAGCTTCTTTCTAGTCATATGCTGTTGTTGATGGTCTCTAAGGCTCCTAAGAGAAGTCGAATAGTTGTTAATCGTGGATGACATATTCATGACATCATGTTTTTGTCAGTGTTTTGACATTGTCATATTTTGTATGTGACTGCAGTTCATGTTTTAAAATATCAACATAATGTTTCTCTTTATTTTATCTTTTAGATATTGCTATATGGAGATTTGCCAAAAAATAAAGAAAATGTAATATATTTAGCAAATCATCAAAGCACAGGTTTGTATTTCATTTGCATGAAACTTGGGTCTCTCCACACACAGTAGAGAAGTAATTCAAAGTAATGTTCTGATATATTTAAATGGATTTTTTTGTTGTTGTTGAAACTTGAATTTTCAATGCAGATATTATATGTGACCTTGTATTTTTGTGATTTTACTGTTTTGGAAAAATAAGACTGTAAAAGCTATGTGTTTTCCTTGTCCCTCTGCTGGGTGTATATAAGCTATTTTCTTTTTTCTCTTTCTTTGACTATCGCTTTAAAGACTCATTATTCTTCCTTTTTAAGTTTTGTTTTTGGAAGTGAAATTTGTGGATCATACTGTATGAACATTTTAGATTTTTTTATTGTTAGGCTACAGAAAGGTTGTACCAATTTGTATTTATTACTAAACACAGTATTATTTTCTGATGTCTGCACTTCACCTGTACCTTCGGAGCAGTTATGAAGGAGAAATGCCTCTTTCTTAACTTAGCTTATTAGTAGTTACAGTCAGTTTTCTAGGTCAAGAGTTGATGTTACAAAGAGTGAATAGGAATTTGATGTATTTGTATTTGTATTTCCCTGTATCACCGACTCAATGGGCATGAGTTTGAGTAAACTCCGGGAGTTGGTGATGGACAGGGGGGCCTGGTGTGCTGCGATTCATGGGGTCACAAAGAGTCGGACACGACTGAGGGACTGAACTGAACTGAACTGAACTGAATCTTATTACCCTAACTGCTAAGACTGTTTGACTTAATTACATTTGACTTTAGGATATGGTCAGAGTCTGTTTCTAACTCTGGTCCATAAAGCAGCCTGACCTCCTCCTTTATTTTCACGCTTTCTCCAGTCTTATCGAGCTTTTTATTAGTGACACAGTCTTGCTATTCTGGTCGTGCTAGCGATGGCCAATCTTTACCAAGTTTCCAAGATCCAGATAAAAAGGATTTCTGGTTCTAGGACAGGGAGTGGTTCATTTAACCCATTTTTCTTTGTATGGAGCCCCTGGTTAATTTCACTTAGAGCTAGCTTTCTATTTAAAAGGTCTCTCTTAAAATTCCTTGTTTAGGTTCCCTGTCAACTTGCCTTTTTGTGGGCTTCAATGGAAAGAGTGTTCTAGGGACAGAGCCGTGGGCCCCGGACGAACCTATAGAGTAAGGACTCTGGACATTTCCCGAGGCCACTGCTCTCCTGGGTGTGCTCGCTGTGTGCTGGCCTTTATATCCCTTACTCCCGAGTGTGGACTTTGGGGAAACATTTGGAGGAATACAGATTTTTCAAAACTCTTCAATGTTTGGGACTGCAAGGGTAGAACGGGAAGTGTGAGGTCCACAGTCAGCCCTGGCTGATGGGAGAAAGCTGCACATCTCCGTGAGAACCGGCCATCTACACCCTCACCCGACCTGGGTGCCGGCCCCACGCCAGTCAGCCATTAGGAGCGGGGAGGGTTGCTTTTTGAGTCCTTTAAAAAGTCCAGGGAATCCCCTGACAGTCCCATGGTTAGGACGCTGCGCTTTCACAGCGAGAGCCGGGGTTCAAGCCTTGGTTGGAGAGCTAAGATCCTATAAGCCAGTGGCATGACCATAAATAAAAAACCCGTAGCTTAGGAGCATAACTAGACAGAGATTTTAAATGACTTTAGAATTGCAGGCTTCAGTTAGAATATGGGCGCATAAAATTCTGCCTGCAGTCTGAGGTTCTGCAGGCCCCTCGTTTACCCAGGGACATGGGCCCTGGCCTGTTGTGTCTGGGTGCCCTTTATGAAACCCTTTTGAGACCCTGAAAACCACCATCGAATAAACTGAAAATGTCAGTGGCAGAAAGAACATTTCAAAGACTGCTGTTGAGTTTAGACTTCCCAGCTCATGCTCTCCAAGGCCTGCCAGAACGCGAGAGGCTTTTCTTGGCCTGGCTGGCTGCAGAACTGGCATCTGAATTTGTCCCTCTGCTCCCTTGTTTTCGCTTGCAGTGAGCCCTTGCCGACTCTGCGTTCTTGGTCTCTGTTGACTGACTTTTCTCCAGAGTCAGCAGGACTGCGGTGGCCACTGTTCCTTTCCCCACGCCTTCCTTAACTCTCTGCTTTGAACACTCTGGACGTTTTTAATCTCATGGAATGTTCCCTTTCCTTGGTCTGGGTGACATTTGCCTTAACTAACAGCGTGAATGGTGGCCTTTCTTTAAAAGGCCTGGGCTGTGGAGTCAGACCCCAGTTGGTATGCCGTTGTACTTGACTTCCTAGCTGTGTGTCTGTGGGCCGATGGCCTAGCCTCTCTGAGCCTTGTTGGTCAGCTGTGAGTCATGTCTACTGGTCAGGGCTTGTAGGCAGTTTCCGTAACCTGGCTCTAACCTCACAGAGAGTCTGGCTCAAGGGCAGCCAACAGTAGGAGTGATGGTGTTGATGACAGCTAATCTCCAGGTCACATTGCATCCATGATAGGCGAGTACCTCACGTGCAGGGCTCCTTTCAGCCAACACGGTGCCCTTAAGAATTGGAAACTCTTGTTCCCTAGTCACACAGTTGAGAAGAGCCTCGCTTCTCTTGCTGCCTCTCCTCTGCCCTTCCCTCCTCTCTTCCAAGTTAATAATATAAACTGTGGCACTGCTTGAGCTGGATCACCATGGCAGAATTTTTACACAGCTGCATTTCTTCATCTCTTAATTAAGTTATTCATGCCAGAGCACAAAATCTGAATAGTTATTCAGTTCAGTTCTGTTGCTCAGTCGTGTCCGACTCTNAGTTCAGTCACTCAGTCATGTCCGACTGTTTGCGACCCCATGAACCGCAGCACGCCAGTCCTCCCTATCCATCACCAGCTCCCGGAGTTTACCCAAACTCATGTCCATTGAGTCAGTGATGCCATCTAGCCATCTCACCCTCTGTCATCCCCTTCTCCTCCTGCCCTCAGTCTTTCCCAGCATCAGGGTCTTTTCAAATGAGTCAGCTCTTTGCATCAGGTGACCAGTTAAGAAGGTATTATCCCAGCCATCAGTAACTCAGCTGGTGTCTTCTATCTGAAACCTAGTTGAGAATTTTAAACAATTTAAAAAGATAATTGAGTTGAAAAAATTGGAGGCACCCAGCACGTGTGTTTTGACTACTTCAATGAAAGTCACACAGTCGTGTCTGACTCTTTGCGACTCCATGGAATGTATAGTCCATGGAATTCGCCAGGCCAGAACACTGGAGTGGGTAGCTTTTCCCTTCTCCAGGGGATCTTCCCAACCCAGGGATCGAACCCAGGTCTCCAACCCAGGTCTCCCACGTTGCAGGCGATTCTCTACCAGCTAAGCCACAAGGGAAGCCCAAGAACATGGGAGTGGATAGCCTATCCCTTCTCCAGTGGATCTTCCTGACCCAGGAATCAAACTAGGGTCTCCTGCATTGCAGGCAGTTCTTTGCCAACTATCAGGGAAGCCCTTTGACTACTTATGTTAGTTCTTAAACTTTTTCGCTAAATATTTCAAAAGTATAAGGGCATAGCCCAGGCAAGTTCATTAAAAACATGACATATTTTGTAAATTTGACATTTTCTCCTTCAAGTTACTGGAAGGTGTATCTAGGCCATAGTATAGCCATATGTGTTTAATATAAAAAAGAATTTTCAAATTCCTCCAAATTTTAAAAAATGTTTGTCCCCAGAAAAGATACCAAATCTTGTTCTTAGCCTTGTACCAAAATTTGTTTCAGAATATTCTGTAGCCTGTAAACAATACACTACGTTCTCCATTTATTCTGAGTCTCTACTTTTACATTAGGTATAGTTTTAACAAATTTAATTATTTAGTTTCTATGACATGGTTAGGAAGAAATGTGTTTATCAGTGCCTGTTTGATTTGAATTAGAGGGGAGGGGGGTAGGGAGATGACTTCTAAGGGAAGGTACATGCTTTGGAGAAAGTGATAATTGATGTTCAATAGAGTAGGTGTCGCTGCCTGACAGACACAGGGGATCGTTCGTTTACTGTCGGCGACATCTTTGCTTCCCTCTGTTTAAAGGGAGCCGTGACAGAAATTAGAGATGTATTAGTTGTACCTCTGAAATCAAGAAAGAGTTAAATGATGAAATATTCAGACAAGGAAGATTTATACTAGTTGATAAAACACCTCTCCAGAAGGACATTTCAGTGTTTGAACCGGCTGAGTCTTGTGTGGCGTGTTCCGTCCAGCACGGTGCGGCGCCTGAAGGAGTCCACACAGCTGAGAGCTCGTCCTCCCCTAATCCTCGGGAAAACTGTCCTTTTTGGTTGAAACTTGATCGTAAGGGGCCCTCTTGACTCCCCCCTTTTTATACTTCCCATCTCCTCCTATTGGCTGTATCCTGTGCAAAAGAGTGCTTTTCCGCCACCCAACAAGAAAGGGAATGCAAATGGGCATACACTCAAGGCCGGTTGACAGTTGCAAGTTACGGAGCAACAGGGCCTGTTGTGCGTGTCTTCCCATAATTCAGTCTGTTACAATCAGGTGTATTTATATATAGAATATTTGTGAGCCCTTAATGGGCTCGTAGCTTTCTCAGGTTACTTGAGGAAGCCCCTGTGGTTAGTTTGTATCCCTGTGTGCCCAGGGTGCATGTGCAGGAGTTGGAAAACTCTCTCTGTGAGCTCTCTTGGTTGTGTCTGGAGTGGGCTTTAGAGATCAGCTTGCATCCTTTTTGGCTAGGCCACCCCTCATGGCTCATGCGTACCTTCCTACCTAACAAAACCATATTCCTCCAAGAATCTATTCCTTTTGTTCTCATTCACCTGACCCTGAACACAGCTGTAATCCTGTGACTGAATCCTTTCAGATTCTTATCAATGTTTTTTTCAAGTATCCCTGTCTTCCAGTTCATCTGTAGATGCTAGAACAGCCTCCCTCACATTTCTTTTTTATCATTTTCATTCTGTGAAGGAATAGAGTAGTTTGCAGCCATTTGTTTTCAAATCACATTTCTCTGGTCTTCAAGACTCTTTACCGTTTGCTGTCTTAACTTCATTTCATTTTCTCTTAATTTCTTTAAACCATCTCCTCTGTTTGACATCTTCTGCACCCTTTGCTGGCCCCTGTTTCTTTGCTTTGGCAAGGAAGGGCTCGTTCCTCTGTTCAGAATTTGTTTTGCTGGAAAGATCAATTAACAGCTTCTCTCTTCCTACAAGTTTTTTGGGTTTGGTGTTATCAGCTCACTGATGCTTTTTTTTTGTTTTTTAACTGATGTCTTCTTGTTTTTGTTTTTGTTTACCTTTTAGTAATAATATATCTACATAACTAGAGTTTTTAGCAGCTTGGCTACTTGTCCTTTGATATGTAAAGAATACATAAGTGCCCAGCATAGTTGTAAACTTTGAGACATCTTTGTTTTGAATTCTGATACAGCCTATGATTGTGTCCTGAAAGTCACTGGTAAAGATAAAATGTCCTTGCCTTTTGTTGAGCATATTAGTATATATGGAATATTTTCTTGAACGTGACAGCTTCATTTAGCCAATCTCTGCCTATCATTTCATGTTTTCTAGACTTTAAGAATTAGAGAAGCTTATCTTATTCTTTGTTCCTGCATCATTTGTATTACTTTGATTTGTATGGCTTTTCCATTATATCCCTGAAATAAGCTTTTAAGAAATGTAAAAACAAACCTGAAAAAACCCACAGAATTTGTATTTTTCAAATGTCTGGGGTTGATTTAAAAAAATTTAAAAATTCTATGAGTAATATTTTCAAAGCACGTCTTCATAACAGTCTTATGAAGAGGCTCTGTTTCTGTGGCGGGGATCACTTAGGACTGACGGGTTCTGTCTTCGCAGTTGACTGGATCATTGCCGACATCCTGGCCGTCAGGCAGAACGCTCTCGGCCACGTGCGCTACGTGCTGAAAGATGGGCTCAAATGGCTACCGCTGTATGGGTGTTATTTTTCTCAGGTAACTTTTCTCCATGCTGCTTTCTTATATATGTGTGGATGTTTAAGGTTTTTGGGTTTATTTTTAATGGGTTTACCAGTTCATTCTAAATTAATGTGGTTTTATTTGGCATTTTTAATGATGTGTATTTATATATATGTCTTGATTATCCAAATTGTTAGATAAAAAATGCAAACTACAAAAATCATATAAAAAATTTCAAAGGTAAAAAATGTGATGGACCCTTAATAAATTAAAAAGTAATTATCCGTAGGATATAGAAAAATGTCAGGTACATAATAAATGTTCAGTATATGTTATTTTATAAAAGTCCTTTGAAATCACATAATAACCATCAGGTCATGAAACTATACAACAGGTTCTTTAATATTCAGAAGGGGATTACTAGCATTTTTCTATGCCTTTTCTGAATAAATCATGGTTATGCAATTTTCTGGGGGCTCTTCCAGTGCCTCAGCAGTAAAGAATCCTCCTGCAATGCAGGAGCCACAAGAGACACGAGTTCGATCCCTGGGTCGGGAAGATCCCCTGGAGGAGGCTCTGGCAACTGACTCCAGTATTCTTGCCTGGAGAATCCCATGGACAGAGGAGCCTGGCAGGCCACAGTCCATGGGTAGCAATGAGTCAGACACAACTGAGTGACTAATACATATACACTTGCAATTTTCTAAATAAGAGTGAAATTTGTGTGGAAGACATGCTTGATAATAAGACTTTAATACTCGATTAAAGAAGAGAGGCTAAAGTTATAGTAAGCCCTGAAAAGATAGAAATCTGGAAGTCACCCCTTGGACAGTCCATGCTACCCACAAGTCCCATGATAAGAGTTCCTGTGGTGTTGGAGGTTAGAGTCTTGACTGTCCATTTCCTCTTTCTTTTCCTTATTTCCTTCTAAAGGAAAATAAAATTCAAATATATTTTGATGAAAAGTATTTTAAACTGTTTTGTTTATGTATAAATGGAAATAAATTAAAAAGAATGGACTTTGTATTACCATTCAGTTGTGTCCGACTCTGCAACCCCATGGACTGTAGCCTACCAGGCTCCTCCATCCATGGGATTCTCCAGGCAAGAATACTGGAGTGGATTGCATAACTTTATGCCAGGAAGTAAGATTTTCTTTTAAGCAGACTTGTTTTTTACAGTCTGTATGAAGCAGAAATAATGCTATTCAAAAATAGTTACTTACAAGCAAATGAGGAAACAGTCAAGTTTTTTATTTATTTTATGTGTGGTGGTGGTGTATTTTAAATGTTTTGTTGTTGTTTAGTCGCTCAGTCATGTCCGACTCTTTGCAATCCCACGTACTGCCGCACACCAGCTTCCCTGTCCCTCACAGTCTCCTGGAGTTTGCCAAGTTCATGTCCATTGAATCGGTGATGCCATCCAACCATGTCATCATCTCTCACCCTCTTTAATTTTAATATATAGATATTCAGGAAATTAAACATTTCTAAACCACCAGCTTGTAAACATTGACAGGTGTAGTTTACCTTTGGAATAGAACAGAATCCTCTTTGCTCCCTCATCCCAGCCAAACGCAGATGTTTTGGGAACCTTACTGTGTGTTAAAAAATCAAAAAGGCACTAGAGAGCTTTTTCTCATTTAAGTCCTGTGAGTGTAACTAGAGATATGTGTGACAGCTGTGACTGACCTGAGCTCTCTACACTTGCTTCCACTCTGCTTTCAATTCTGGCCAGCTTTATTGTAACACGTATTCATTCTCTTATATTACACTCTATTACATACATATAATATATATATTATATTATACATATTTTGCTTCATCACTAATCGGGGAGTTCCAAAGGGAAAGATAGCTGGTCTTGACTTCTGTAGCTTCCATATACCTGGGAAAGAACTCAGATTTTTTTTAAATGAAAATTGAGTTTAATAAGCACATTAAATGATTAGTAGGAATAAATGGAAATAAATTAAAAAGAATGGACTTTGTATTACCATTCAGTTGTGTCCGACTCTGCAACCCCATGGACTGTAGCCTACCAGGCTCCTCCATCCATGGGATTCTCCAGGCAAGAATACTGGAGTGGGTTGCATAACTTTATGCCAGGAAGTAAGATTTTCTTTTAAGCAGACTTGTTTTTTACAGTCTGTATGAAGCAGTAATAATGCTATTCAAAAATAGTTACTTACAAGCAAATGAGGAAACAGTCAAGTTTTTTATTTATTTTATGTGTGGTGGTGGTGTATTTTAAATGTTTTGTTGTTGTTTAGTCGCTCAGTCATGTCCGACTCTTTGCAATCCCACGTACTGCCGCACACCAGCTTCCCTGTCCCTCACAGTCTCCTGGAGTTTGCCAAGTTCATGTCCATTGAATCGGTGATGCCATCCAACCATGTCATCATCTCTCACCCTCTTTAATTTTAATATATAGATATTCAGGAAATTAAACATTTCTAAACCACCAGCTTGTAAACATTGACAGGTGTAGTTTACCTTTGGAATAGAACAGAATCCTCTTTGCTCCCTCATCCCAGCCAAACGCAGATGTTTTGGGAACCTTACTGTGTGTTAAAAAATCAAAAAGGCACTAGAGAGCTTTTTCTCATTTAAGTCCTGTGAGTGTAACTAGAGATATGTGTGACAGCTGTGACTGACCTGAGCTCTCTACACTTGCTTCCACTCTGCTTTCAATTCTGGCCAGCTTTATTGTAACACGTATTCATTCTCTTATATTACACTCTATTACATACATATAATATATATATTATATTATACATATTTTGCTTCATCACTAATCGGGGAGTTCCAAAGGGAAAGATAGCTGGTCTTGACTTCTGTAGCTTCCATATACCTGGGAAAGAACTCAGATTTTTTTTAAATGAAAATTGAGTTTAATAAGCACATTAAATGATTAGTAGGAGATAGTGTGCGAAGAAGAGAGATAATGTCCCTGAAAGCTTGGGAAAGTTTCACATTGCAGTATGTGTATCCTGTGGCTCTAATTCTAAAGAGTTCATTAAGCATGACTTTATCCTCATCGGTCTTCTTAGTTTGGGTAAGTAGTGCCCAAACTACTGCTTACTTACTTGGGTGAGTAGTACCCAAGCTACTTACTTTGGGTAAGCACCTGCACTCTTAGAGCACTTGGAGTTTCTTTCCTGTTCTCAGGCAAGTCAGCTCGTGTGTGAAGGAACCACATCCAGAATCTAAGGCCCCCCTTCCCCTCCTCTATATCCTGTCCCCTCCTTGCTTCTCTTTATTTCCTTTTACTCATATTCTTGAGTAAGACAAAATCAAATTTCAGCCAGTCTGTTCAAATTTTACAGATGAGTTTTTGAGTTAGAGTAGAGGAAGGCAAAAAAAAAAAAAAGACCTGATGCAAAGTTTCAATGACGTTCACTTATGAGGTTTAATTAAGGTTATCTTAAATTTTTATGAGGGCCTCCCTGGTGGGTCAGTGGTAAAGGATCCACCTGCCAGTGCAGGAGACTTGGGTTCTATCCCTGGGTCGAGAAGATCCCTTGGAGAAGGAGATGGCAACTCTCGCCAGTATTCTTGCCTGGGAAACTCCATGGACAGAGGAACCTGATAAGTTACAGTCCATGGGGTCACAAAGAGTCGGACACAACTGAGTGACTAAACAATTTTTATGGTGGTGTTTGTATTAGCCCGCTAGGGCTCCCATAATAAAATACCACACTCTGACTTAAACAACAGAAGTTTATTTGCTGCCAGTTTCTGGAGGCTGGAAGTTCAAGACTAAAGGGTCAGCAGGGTTGGTTTCTCTTGAGGCTTGGTTTGCGGGTGGCTGTCTTCTCTCTGTCTGTCCTTTACGTGACTTTGTCTGTGTCCTAGTCTCTTACAAGGCATCATTCCTATTGGATCAGGGCCCATTCTTACGACCTCATTTAACCTTAATTATTTTCCTAAAAACCTCATTTCCAAATATAGTCACATTTAGGAGCTAGGGCTTCAACATAAGAAGTCAGTGGAATAACTGAGAGCTAAGATCCATTTGACTGAATCTTTCATTTGGAAAAAAAAAAGTGTTTTTAAGGTAAGAATGCATTTTTAATTTCCAGCAAAACTAAATGTTTGTGTAGTTTCCTATGAAATGCCATACATGGTTTTATTTCAATTGTATTGAAAACACAGAATTCAGCTAATGTTATTTAAAGGCTAACATTTGAATGTATTAAATATAACTTAATTCCTAAAATGTAATTTTGTTCTTCACCCTTTGGAAATAAAGTTAACCATTTTGATGACTGGCCATTGGACATTTTAATAGTAAATATGTTTTTCCCCCTTGTTTTTTCATGGCAGCATGGAGGAATCTATGTAAAAAGAAGTGCCAAATTTAATGAAAATCAGATGAGGAAAAAGCTGCAGCGCTACATCAACGCAGGAACTCCAGTAAGATTACTCTCATTTTTATTTTTTTTATCAACTCTCAATTTGTAATTTAAGGATTAAATTAGCATTTAAGAATTGTTTTGAAAATATATTACCCCATGTGTAATAACTAATTCAGAGTTTTTGAGGCAGCAAAAAACCTTCTAAATATAGGCAAGCAGTTATTTTTGGCCATCAGAAAAGTTGCTGCCGGCGATTCGATCCTTTGCAGGTGGTTGTCAATATTGACCTTAAAGAGGAGTAAGGAGAACATTTGGTGTCTTTAGCCTATAATTAGAAACAGAACTGCCCTTGTAACCTTACACTTGAGCTACTTAGGAACTCCTCTGACTCCTCTTCTTCTGCATCGGGTGGAGTTTTAGAAGAACTACTGTTTTCTGTCAGTGTGAATTTGGATTTCTTGTATCTACTGAGTTATTTGAAAAGTCAGAAAAAGTATGAATATCTGCAAATGAAGAGCATTGCATGTAGACGTTAGTTTGTAAAACCTTATTGCCCACAGAAGAAGCCTCTGCATTCTCCCTGCAGAATGCTCATTGCTCCCTGTGGCTCTCCACTCCCTCTGAGGACAGGGCCGCAGGGGAGCCGTGCCTCCCTGAGCCTCGTTCCCTGGGGCCCTGCGTGGTTGTCTGTCCTGGTGCTCCGAAACGTAGCTCACAGGTTCGAGTTCTCTCCCCTCTTCCTTCCTCATTGCCTCTCGCCTCCTCCTCCCCCCAGTTGCCCTCTCTCTCCACTCCCTCTCTCTCCTCCCTGGCTCACGGTGCCTCCTTTCCCCATGTGCTTGGTAACCTTCGTTTGCTGTTGATTGTATTTGGAAAAATTATTTGCAGAAATCAGCTCGAGCATAAGATGAAAGAGAACGCTGGCATTTGTTTTAGTCCAGTCCCTGGAGGCGCCTCTCCCATGGGCCCCACCCGAGCCCAGGCCTAAGCTCGAGGCTCCCTGGACCACCCAGGCCGTGCTGTGAGACAGGACCTTCTGAGACCTGCGTGACTACCTGGCTTGCTTTTACCCCAGGAGTGTGGCCCTTTTGGTGTTCCCTTCACTTCTGTTTCACTCTTACTCTTTCTAACAGAAGATCCGTCGCTTTAGATGTCTGTCCCCTCACTTTTTGTTTCTCTTAGAGCTAAATTCTTCTCTGCGCTTGCTTCTGCTTTTCTGTGTTTGCTTTAGTTTTGGTCTTACATCTTGTCAGCTCTTGGATGCTCTTAAGATGATGTTATATCCAGCTTTCTAAATTGTTTTCAGTAGGAAAGTCAGTTCAAAGAACCTGCTGTGTGCTGTGTTTAGTCACTCAGTTGCATCCGACTGTTTGCAACCCCATGGCCTGCAACCCACCAGGCTCCTCTGTCCTTAGGGATTCTCTAGGCAAGAATACTGGAGTGGGTTGCCATGCCCTCCTGCAGGGAATCTTCCCAACCCAGGGCTCGAACCCAGGTCTCCTGCACTGCAGGCAAATTCTTTACCAAGAGCCACCAGGAAAGCCCAAGAATACTGGAATGGGTAGCCTATCCCTTCTCCAGGGAATCTTCCCAACCCGGGAATTGAACCAGGGTCTCCTGCGTTGCAGGTGGATTCTTTATCAGTTGAGCTACGAGGGAAGCCCTCAAATAACCTAGTCTTTCACTTTGGGCTCCCAGAGAGCATTTCTGTTTTTCAAGGGCAAGAGTCTAGTGTTTTGGTGGTCACGCAGTGACACTGAATGATGGACTGCCAGGCTCGTGAGGCAGCACTGCAACTGGCTGTCGCTCAGGTCACTGTGGGGATGAGGCCACATTCATAGAATCTGGGTGGTCGCTTCACTGTTTAATATTTAAGTGCTGTGAAACAGCTAAGTATTTCTCAGACTCTTTTATTAGGCTCTTTTGTTTCTGAAAGTTAATCACATAATTGGCAAGGTAGAATATATTTATAAAGTCAACTTCCATGTGACTTAATATTCCTCACTGAAATCAATGATTAATGATTAAATCAGCTCTTATTCACTAGTAGTAGTATTTGAGAAAGCTTTCCAGATGGTGCTAGTGGTAAAGAACCTGCTTGCCAGTGCAGAAGACATAAAAGACATGAGTTCAATCCCGGGGTCAAGAAGACTCCCTGGAGTAGGAAATGGCAACCCACTCCAGTGTTCTTGCCTGGAGAATCCCATGGACAAAGGAGCCTGGAGGGCTATAATCCATGGGGTCACAAAGAGTCAGACACAACTTAGCACGCATGCACGTTGTTTGAGAGACTGCAGGATTTTTTTCCCAAAAGTTACTAAGAAATACATCTTCTGAATAAACATTGCTATGTGAATCTTTTGAAATATGAACACCTATTATCTTTTATATTATGGAGATTTATATATTTATATATGGTTTCCATCAGATGAGGTGTACTTGGGGACCCTGATGTCTAAAATTTGCGCCTTTTCAAAAGTGATTTTACAGAATCTTAGTGGGGGGAACCTCTTTCATTAATGATTTGAGGCTTTCTATGAGTCAGCATTTTATGGCAAGCTTTTAAATTAGTAAATATTAGCATGTAATTAGAAATGTTGTTAGATTATAAATGACTGACATCTGAATAAATGTAGGACTGCATTTCAAATATAGTCTATGCTATGTCATGACTTAATTGAATTTGTGTGTTTTGGTTGTTCTGCTTGCAATAAAGGTCATAGGTAATTGAGCTTTTTTTCACCACCATGGGAAATACTCTTAGGATTAACAGGGTTATCATTGGTAAGTTAACAGCAACAACAGAAACAACAGAAACACTGACATAAAACAAACCAATTCTTTATGTCTTCACAGATGTATCTTGTGATTTTTCCGGAGGGAACAAGATATAATCCAGAACTAACAAAAGTCATTTCAGCTAGTCAAGCATTTGCTGCTCAAGAAGGTAAGTAAAAAATTAACTACATTTGAAACTATTATTTTTAAATGTGTCTAAGAGTAAATTTAAGTGCTTGCTGTGTATGTATTCCGGTACCATAGATTAAGGTAGAATCTATCCAGGGACATGATTATTTAGATGGAACCTTTGTTTGCAGTGTGGCTTCTCTGTGATGGACAGAGATTCTGTTCGGTAGGTTGACAGACCTAGACTGGAATCCAGATTCTAACATTAATTAGCCATATGGGCGTAAGCTGCCTGATGTTACTGAGCATCAGTTGGCCCACCTCTTAAAAAACATACAGTCAACTCTCCAGATCTGTGGATTCTACATCCATGGATTCAGTAAACCACAGGTGGAAAATATTTTAAAAACATTTTTTCAGGAAGTTCCAAGAAGCAAAACTTGAAATTGCCATGCTGGCAACTATTTACATAGCATTTGCATTGTGTCAGTTATGATAAGTGGTCTAGAGTTGATTTAAAGCATATGGAGGTTGCATAGGTTATATGCAAGTACTCGGCCATATTTACATAAGGGCCTTAAGCATCTGGGGATTTTGGTATCCAGGGAGTGGATGGTGGTGGGGTGGTCTTAGAACCAGTCCCCTGGGGATACTGGGGGGTGGGGGGTATGCTTGTTCCCATGGGTAAACCTAAATCTGTGTAAGGATTAAAGATATGTGAAGCTTCTAATGGAGAATATTACACAAAGTTAGTCTACAGTACTTAAAGCTATTGCTGTCCCCAGTAACAAGGATATTCTTAGCATCCATCTTTTAGAGACCTGGATAGCTGGTATACCGGTAGGTGTACAGTTTAGCCAGGTGGACTGTGCTCCCAGAGGTGTCTGGGAGGCTGGCTGGATCACACGGGGTCTGTCTGAGAGGGTGCATTGTTGCAGGGCTGGCCGGGCCCTCTGCGGTGCTTCTGAGGATCTGCTGTATGTCTCTGTTCTGACCCCTGTGCAGTGAGCAATTGAAATGGGCTGGTGCATCAGAGAAAGAAAGTGTTTGCTTCTAGTTAATTTTGGTTAATTAATCATGCCTGGAGGTGGAATCCTTGGTGCTCACTGAAGTTCTCTCCCGAGATTTCTGTCACGCTCATCTCCTTTCCTCCCGCCTTTCTGGTGCTTCCAACTAATCTCCTCTCTGTCCACTTCTGCTTCATCTTTTCCTGTTTCCTGTGCTGTTTCCCATATCTGACCCGGGTCTCTTTCGTTTATTTCACTGTCTGTGGTCTTCATGGTGGCCTTCCTCTAAATCCATAGCACCTTCCTCTAAATCCATAGCTGTCACCACCATTTATTTGACTGCTGATGCCTCACAGAAAACTGTCTCTCACCCACACGTGTCTGCACGACTCTTGACTTTCCTGTACAGTCGCCAAGTAGAGAGTTTCACTTGCCTGGCTCAGAGGCATGACCCAGACTGGACGTGTCAAATGCAGGGCTTCTCTCTCCACTCATACACCTGTCAGCTGGGCCTCTCTCTCCAAGGTTCTCCCAGCTTTGCTTTATGGTGTATATCAAGTGTCCTTCTTGAACCAGTGTTGAGTCTTAGATGAACATTAGCTTTGGGCTGCATTCTCGGGCATATATTATTCATATAACCTTAGACAAGTTGCTTTATTTTTGGTCTGTTTTCTTATTTGTATCAGGGATTATCTTCTTCATAGGGCATTTGTGAGGTTCAGTGACATAATGTTTATAGAAAGTCTGATATATGTATATGTATATTTCATATACATACATTTACTAAGTCATCATTTCTAACTTAGAATGTGGAGATTTGCCACAGGTGAATCTATTAATAATGGCAAAAAGCTATAGCTGATCCTAAGGGATAAAATAGAAAGACTAATTCCTTTAAGAAATACTTATTTTACAAAGCAGAGGAGCCCTTATACGATAGTGGATAAGGACACATGTTTGTGATGTATCAAGTGAGGTGGGAGAAGCACAGACAGTGGTCTGTGGGAGTTGAAGGGAAAGAGAACCAGCTGACAGAGGGTGTCCATCGGAAAGGTAGAATTAAGACCAACACGTGTGGTGAAAGGAAGGGATTCTAGGTGTAAGAAACAACAATAGCAAAGACATGGAGTTATGAGCAAAGAGTTTGATGTCTTCAAGCCCAGGATGAGCGAAGAAGAGCTGAGTTCAGCCACCACAGAAGGCTCTGAATTCTGTCCGGGCGTGGTGGTCTGGACCTCATGCCAGAGTTGAAGGGAAGTCACTGAGTGGTATTCTTTTTAATTAGTTCATTGTGTTTTATTTAAGAAGTCACCATCTTAATTTCCTTGTTCTAAAGCATGTGATAACACAGCCTACAAGAGTTTGTGGGGAATAGAGGGAAAGGGTTCCGTGTCCAAGTGGGTTTAGAGAATGTTGCATTTATATCCTTTCCTTGGAGAGTTATTCACATTCGTATGTATTAGTCTCAGAAAACTTCTCTTGTAAAAATGTCTTATTTTGTTTAAGGAGCTGTTTACTAAATTTATATAAGAAAGAAAACAATGACCTAGAATTGTTACACAAAATTTGGGGTTTTTATGGAGTAAATTCTTAGGATTTCAGAATACTGCAGCTCTCCTAAATTATTCCTTCTGTAACGATTCTACATTGCTGAGCCCTGACTGTAACAAAATATATATTTTACTCTTTAAAGCTTAAAAGAGTTTATAGGTGAACTTGTTTGAGACTCTTCATAAAGTCTCAAGTTATGAAGGCTAATAAACTATATAAATTTTCAGAAACTCTTATGTGTCATCTCATATCCACTTTAATTCTGTTTGGGAATTAGAATTTTATGTTAGATGAGATGAAAGAGAAACAATAAACTTAGTATTGGGGAATTTTTTTATTGTTACTTTTCATGTGTCTTGTAAAATCTGGTACATTTTGTTGTGATTAAGGAATCAACTGCCTTGGAACATGTGTTTTTAATGAGTTGAACAGAGAGTTGAACTTGGGAGAAGTTAACCCTGAGCACTTTAAGTCCTCGTAGACTGCTGATTTCATTTTTTATTTCTAAATATGTAACACAGTCTGCTAAGGTGGTACAACTAGCTGTATAATGCCTTTCAGGAGTTTATGATTTAATAGGAGAGAGAGAACATGATTGTATTTGTTATTCACTGATGTGTAACACATCATCCCAAACTGTAGTGACTTAAAACCACAAACATGTATTATTTATGTTATAAATTTAGTAGCTTATATATAACTACTTAAAGTTACTTATGTTTAAAAAATCCAAACTAATTTTATAATGCTAAAGCAAGTACTTGTAAGTAATTCTTAAAATAGCATAATAATGTTATATACTATAACTTTTAAAATCTAATAATGCCTTAGTCACCAGTAACTGACCTTTACTGGTCTGTTCATTTTTCTGTGAGTTACAGATCTTTCTCAGTTACCAAAAGGGGAAAAAATGAATAATTTTTCTGATGGATACAAATTTTAACTGCTAACTAACTATTCTTTAAATCCTGTAACTGGGAAAACTCGCTATTTATTAAAAATATATTTTCTTATAACTCTAATGGTAATTGTTTTCCACCACACACAAAGGAAGTTGATTTGTGAACAGTATAGCTAGAAAGAGTGTTTCCTGTTTTCTTTCCTCTTAGCTCAAACTAAATGAGATTGCTTGAAAATAAAAACAAATGAACTCGTTTTTCCAGCTGTTAAGCTAATTTTTCTTCTGGAAAATTGAAACTTAATAGCACTTCTTGTTTGTTTGTTGTATGTTTTGCTTCAAAACATTAATTCTGCTCCTAAAGTACACCTTCATTTGAATCTGACTTAGTAAACCAATAGAAAAACAAACCAAAACCAACCTTTTTAAATTTAGATTTTTAACATTTCATACTTGTTTACATGTTGAAGTCATTACACCATATACCACTGATATGGTGATGGCTGGTTTAAGAGGTAGGAGTGGTGGATGTGGGTATGTCTGTCTGTCTAATAAATCCTAAATATTTCAAGGCCCTGGCTATCACTATTTCCTAGAAGTATTTTCCTTCAAAAATAATGTTAGTCACAAAATATGTTTGTTTATAATTGGAGTTGTTATTTAAGGTATGTCTATATTAGAGTGTCCTTAGGTTGTTTTGTTGGATTATAATTGCTTTACAAAGTGCATTAGTTTCTGCTGTGTAGCAGTGAGAATCAGCTGTACCTGCACCATCCGGCCCCTTCCTCCTGGGCCTCCCTCGACCCCTCAGCCCACTTGTCTGGGTCATCGCAGAGCCCTGAGCTGGGCTCCATGTGCTTTAGAGCAGGTTCCCACTGGCTGTCTGTTTTACACATAGTGGTGTGTGTACGTCATTGCTTCTCTCGGCTCATCCCACCTCTTCTTCCCCATGTGTCTGCAGGTTCCTTCTCTACATCTGCATCTCCATTTCTGCCCTGCACTTAGGTTCATCTGAACCATCTTCCTAGATTCCATGTATGTGCGTTAATGTATGATATTTGTTTTTCTCTTTCTGACTTATTCACTCTGTATGACAGTGAAGACTCTAGGTTCACACCTGTATCTCTATAGATGACCCAGTGTTACTCTCTACTTCATAGTTTGTTAGATTAATGATCTCTAAATTCCCTTTTTACTTGAAACTGTTAGTCATTCCTTTAAAGAAAGACATTCATATTTCCAAATAAATTAGTTCACCTTTGGTCATCTATCCAGTGGGCTTTCCCCCACTTTCTACCCTACAGGCCTCTGTCTTGGCCTTTCTCCAGCATGCTCCTTTTCCTCAAGCTTTTACCAGTTGGTGTGAGTAAGTGAAAAAAATGTTTAAGTGTGAGTAATGTTTTTATGTTGGGCTTCCCAGTTGGCACAGTGATAAAGAATCCATCTGCCAATGCAGGAGATGTGAGTTCAATACCTGGGTCAGGAAGATCCCTGGGGAAAGAAATGGCAACATGACCTAGTGACTAAACACACACACACACACACACACACACACACACACACCTCATCTCACTTGACTCCGGCAAATTAAGTACAAGTCCTCAGAATGTGTGTGTGTATGCTCAGTCACTGAGTCATGTCCAACTCTTTGCAACCCTGTTGAATGTAGCCCACTGGGCTCCTCTGTCCATGGGATTTTCCAGGCTGGAGTGGGTAGCTGTGTCCTTCTCCAAGGGATCTTCCCAACTCATGGATCGAACTTGTCTCCTACTTGGCAGGAAGATTCCTTACCACTCAGCCACCTGGGAAGCCCTGTGTATGTCTGTCTGTATGTATAGCAATATATACACATACATATATAATGTAAAATTTCCTACTTGGATCAATAAAGATTTTCCATTCAATGGTATCATTTATTTAACAACAAAATTTCAGTTCTATGAAGCATCACCATGTTGGCCCTTAGGGAGAAGTTTGGTCAAGGGTAAGCTAGAGTATTGTTAGTGCCAGCTAGAAGTCAGGAGATCTGGAGGTGGAAGCAAGGCAAAGCAGGTACTAAAACAGAGGTTAGATGTTGACTAGGAAGAATTAATTTAATTCGCTAACATTTCCCTGTTTCAGGCTCAGGGGTTTTCTGGGTTCCCTAGAGGCAGTATGGTGGGCTCAAGCTCAAGTAGTTCATTACGAATGCCATCGTGAATGCCTATTGTTTGACTCTGTACTGAAATTCTAACTGGTCTCTATAGTGTTATTGTGAAATTAGTTGTATAATAATGACCCAAGGTTTGGGGATAGTGGAGCGGCCCCATGCCTTCCACAGTGAGAACATTCTGCCTTCACTTCCTTCACCTACTAGTGATGGGTGTTTCTTACTCATCTGCCAGTCGATTTTCCCAAACCTTCGTTATAACTCATTTTTAGGGAAGTATTACTTTTCTGTCTTCTTACCTTCTTACTGACTTACTTAGATTCTAATAATTGATTACCACAGGTGATACTGTGAAACTGTGGACTTCATAAAGTTGGGTGAATTCCAAGAGCAGAAAAGGAAGTATTAACTAATTTAATTGACAAATGTTTCCCAGCCTGGTATACTGTTCAGGTTTTTGTTATAAGTTTGTGAATAAATTAAACTGTTTCTGCCCCAGGGACTCAAGTCAGATATGTGGTTGTGGGAATCTTTTTCTTTCCCACACCACTCTGCATTTTAAAAATTCTTCTGCAGGAAGATCCCAACATGCTATAGCTGTTCTTTCTTATGCAGCTAATTTTCCCTGGAGAGAAGCAGTAGAAATTGAGCTTTTTTTTTTTTTTTTTAATGGTTTGTTTTCATGTCACTTTTTCAGAGCGCTACACTTGTCTGTTAAATTGTCAATAAATATTCTAAACCAGGAATGGGGGGGGGGCAGTAGAAAATAGGAAGTTCAGTTCAGTTGCTCAGTCGAGTCCGACTCTGTGCCGCCATGGACTGCAGCTCACCAGGCTTCCCTGTCATTCACCAACTCCTAGGAAATAGGAGGGAAAAGGAGCAAATTCTTAGCACTCATGGGAGCACTGATGAACATGTTGAATTATTGTGTACAAATGGTAGTATTTCTCACCTAAAGAAACTTTTAGAAGTGTGTGTGTGTGTGTGTGTGTGTGTGTGTAAATAATATACCCAAGAGAATCGAAATTGTACTTTCACACCAAGACTTGTTTGTGTGCATTGTTCGTATGCAGTTTACATGGACGTCCATAGCTGCGTTGCTCATAACAGCCAAAGGGTGAAAACAACCCAGACATATGTCGGCTAGTCAGTGGATTAACACAATGTGGTATATCCATGCAATAGAATATTATTCAACCATAACAAGTAATGAAGTACTGATGTACACGCCAGACACAACTTTGATCTCATTTATATGATTTGCCCATAATTGGGAAATTCATAGAGACTGAAAGTAGCTTTGTGGTAATGGAGAGTGAAGTGAAGGAAGAGGATGTGTGCTGTGTCTGCTGGGGTGAAAGGTCTTTAGAGTAATGAAAACGGTCTGGAGTTTGATAGTGGTGATGGTTGTATAGCCCTTTGAATAAACTAAAATCAACTGAATTGTATACTTTACAATGGTGAATTTTATGGTGTGTGAATTAGATTTCAGATTTTAAAAAAATGTTTACTGAGAAACTAGATTCTTCAGTTATCCTATAAGTATCAGGTCAGTATTTATATATGGATCACATCAGCTCTTAGTTCAAATGCTGTATAGTCGGGGTTGTTTGGGTAATCGCACTCCATCTCTACTTGAGTAGAAATAGAACTGAAAGAATCTTGGACTTGAAGTCAGAAATTAGGAATTTTATTCCTGAATCTTGACTTCACAGGCAAGGTGCTACCACGTTTATTCTGTCGCCAGAAATGAGGATTGTATGTTTGCTGTTGTCTGAGTTTTCCAAATTGGAGGGTTTCTGAGAGGCTATAAGCTTCTTGAAGGCAGGTTTTCCAACAGCTTCCTGCATGGTCTTGTACATGTGGGTATGTGGTAAGTCTATTAAATGAATGGTGGTTTAAATTGAGTGCTGTCTAAACTTTCCTATAAAAACAGTTTAGAAGTTACAGTCTGTTACCAGGGTGTTTTGTAACTAATATATGGCTATGCTGACTCAACTTCTCTTCTAGGCCTTCCAGTATTAAAACATGTGCTGACACCAAGAATAAAGGCAACTCACGTTGCTTTTGATTCTATGAAGGATTATTTGGATGCAGTTTATGATGTTACAGTGGCTTTTGAAGGGTCTGTGGATGATAAAGGGCAGCGGAAGGAAGCGCCATCCATGGCTGGTAAGTTTGTTTTCAAGTAAGTCATATATGTTTATGAATGTGGGATATATTTTTTAAAAAGGGTAAGTGTGTTTTATTATGTTACATTGATATATTTTCAAAATATGTACATTTGGTGTATTTTTTATTAATCTCTAACAGCAGTAATTTCTTTAGCTCTGCTCGGCTGTCCCATTAGTCCTTTGGATTTGCCCAGTATCGTTAACTTGGCCTCTTTCTGCCCAAGGTTCACACATAGAAATGGAAAAGCTGCATAAAGCAGAGGAAGGAGTGACCAGGGTAAATGCTAATAGCAACACTGAGTTATGCCCTCATGGTCAGTGTTCTCTTTATGTGTGTCTTTCATGTAACATTTGTGAACTCTATTATCACAGACAAGAAGAAGGACCGTCACGCATGACTTTTTCTTTTTTCAACCATGGGCTCAGTATTAAGGACCTTTGGGCCAGGATTTAAGTGGGCAGCATGCTTTAGTTCAATATAAATGCACTCTTGACTGTTGGAGACCTCTGGATGTGGGGCTGGGCAGCAGGAAGCATCTGGAGTTTCTCGTCCCCTCTTCAAGGTAGCGCCCTTGTATTTCCCCTTGGCAGCTGCTGGACGTGGAACCGGCTTGCTTGTCTAGCGCATCTCAGCAGGATGTCTTGAAGGCGGATGTTCAGAAGGGAGAGTGACTCCCAGAGGAAGGAGGGGAAAGGACGGGGGTCAGCAGATTGTGGCTGAACGGTGGGAAGCAGCCAGCGGTGGAGGAGGGGTACCCGGAGGGGCCTCGTCTGCGGAGCACTGACTGCTCTCGTGACTCCCTGACCACAGAGCGAAGTGGGAGCTGCTGCGAAAGTGTGCGGGCTTGTCTATCAGACCCCGTCCTCCTGGTCCCCTCCACCCCGGGAACCACATGTCTTCATCACTTGTGTATTGTAGGTACAAATTTAATTTACAAACAAAAGGCAACATATAATACTTTTTACTCTTTTTGAACCATTGAAAGAGTCCCTGACCGAGTTTTACATTTGAAGACGGACATACATGTAGTTATCCAACAGTATTGCCATGAGTTTATCAAGCATTATTTAGAAAACAAGACTGAATATATTTTTTTGTTTATGGATACCAGATGTAATTCCCATAATAACTTTTTTAGAAGGCTGCTTTTATTGAGTTGAGGTCCCACGGTAAGAACCCCATGGGCCGGGCAGCGTCCCCAGGGTCCCCAGGGCGCTGCTGTGTGGGGACGCAGTGTCCAGCCCGAGCTCCTTCACACTGTTGCCTCCTACTTGGGGCCCTTGGGGCTGCTGGCTTCCTGCCCGTCATGGAGACCCTCCCGCACCGCCTGTGGTGGCTTCTGAGACTGGGGGCTGAGGGTAGGCCGGGCCACCTTCCTGCCGTCGCCCTCATCCGAGCCTGTGACCTTGTCCCTGACAAAGGCGCCCCTCATAGCTCACAGGGCTTTTGTGCTCCCAGGGCACAGGGTGTATGGAAGGTAGTGCTTGGTGTTGGTGAGTCCGTCTCCTCACAGTTAGCCCAGAAGTGCCTTTGGGGGCACACGTCTTAGGCCTGGGTTTCCCAGGCCCGGCCCTTCCTCCTACTGCTCCACTTGTTCAGCACCTGAGCTGGCTTTGGGTCGTCTGGACACAGGGCCTCTACTTTTGAAAAGGTTGGCTTTTCTCTTACACTCAGAAGTCACGTACAAAAAAATTAGTTCAGTCAATTAAGAATAAATATTTCTTCAAGCAAAAACACACCAGAGTAAAACTGTAAGACTGAAGACAAGGGGACTGCAGGAAAAAAGACTAATTTCCTTAATGTACCAAGTGTGCCTATAAACTGATATGATTGGTCACTCAATAGAAAAATGAGTAAAGAGTAAGAACAGCCAGTTCACAGAAAAAAATTGTTCATAATAAGAAAAATTTAAAAACCATTTTTTGCTGTCAAACTGGCAGAAACCCCAAATAACAGGTTAGATACCATGCCTGTGGGTGAGTAGAGTATCCCAGGGACTTTTGCGCTTTGTCGATAGGAGTGCAGCAAATTTTTTCCACAAAGTTGCCAGATCGTTCATTGATGTGCCATAGGCCAGTGTTGCTCCCAGCCCTGCAGGGGAATTGTACTTCTGTCCGAGTTCCCTGGCGTGCCTCAGCCTGGCCGCTCACAGGCTGTCCTGAGCCGGGGCGGGGCTGTGTGCCGGTGACCCTGCGGGGGTGAGCCTGCGGGGATGACCCGCATCTGGCAGCTGGGGCCTCCCAGCAGAGCCGGAGGCGGGAGGCAGGGAGCCATGTCCTTCCTGTTTCACGGTCCGTGTCATCGTAAGGTGGGTACGCTCAGGGCCCATCAGGGTGCCCTGTGCTTCGCCTGGTCTTTCCAACAGTGTCCCAGTGCTCTTGTGTACAGAGTGCATTGGGCAGAGGTGAGACAGGGCCATTTGAGTGTAATTGATTTATAACTCCTGTTTCTAAAATGAGTGTTATACTGGAAGAAATTGTGAGCTAAAGGACAACAATTGATACTCTACTTAAGTATTTTATATAATTCTCAGGTAAGTTTTTTCTCTTAATATTTTCTTATATGAAAATGAGGCATACTTGAAGGGGAAAATTACAGGTAACTCAGAAGAAGGAAAAAAACTACAAACTCACCTGTCCAGATAAAACACCAGATAACACTTCAGATATTTTTCTCAAAGTCTTGTGTAATGTCTGTATGTTGGTGTATATATCTGCCTGTATGTATTTATGTGTGTGTGTGTTTTTTTTTTTTGGCTTAAGAGTGTGTCATGAACATCTTTACATGTCATTATGTACACTTAACATGATTTGTTTAAATGGCTACGTAGTGTTCATTGGTGTGCACATATAACCATTTACTACTCAGTTTTCTGCTGGGTTTAGGTCACATTGTTCTTCTCTTGTTTTCACCCAAAGGGACGGGGGCGGGTGATGAGCCAGGCAGGGAGCAGAGTGGGAGGCAGGCTCGGGCCCAGCCCCGGCTCCCCGCTCAGCCCTGGGCCCCTGGGTTCCTCTCGGCCCCTCTCACCCGGCTCCACAGGCACAGAGCCCCGCGACCCGGTTCCTCCGGAGACGAGGCCTTGTGACATGTCTAGAGCCTTGGAAGACTTCCTGTACAGCCCTGGAATATCAGTATACTCTAGGGACCTGCTGGGAAAGCTGTAGTCAGAAAAAAATCACACCTTAATTAGAACAATTTTCCCTACATTCCCTAAATATTATGGGATAATTTTTGCTCATGCCCTGTGAAATGTGCCCCAACTAAAATAGTTTTTACCAAAGTAGATATAGGAGCTTATGAAATACTGAGGGAAGTATTTCCGTCACTCATTCCTTGTCTGGTGGGAGCACCTCCTGGGTGTCACTGGCGCTGAGTTGAGCTTGTATGGTCTGTATCTGGATTCCTGACCACAGGGACTTGGCTTGACTCCACTGCTGATGACACTGGGGCTTGGTCCCTTCACCCCCGCGAAGGAATGATAGTCCTTGCCTGCAGAGGTGCACGAAGGTCAAGTGAAGTGATGTGCACAGATGTGTGTTGTAAATACCAAAGCACTATGTACATTCTTAGGTTTTCCTAGTGGCTCAGACAGTAAAGAATCTGCCTGCCACATGGGAGACCTTGGTTCAATCCCTGAATTAGGAAGATCCCCTGGAGAAGGGAATGGCAACCCACTCCAAAATACTTGCCTAGAGACTCTGTGGACAGAGGAGCCTGGTGGGCTATGGTCCACGGGGTCACAAAGAGTCGGACACAACTGAGCGACTTTCACATGTACCTTCTAGGCGAGAAAAACCCAAAAGCACCCAGGGGACCTTCAGGGTCCTTTCTCACACTGGCGTCTTTAAGGATGGGTGGCATGTTCCAAACACTCGAGTTCACACACAGTCATTTCTGACCCCAGAAGTGCAGCTGGTTTCGTGTCCTTGCAGATTCTGTATGTCTGTGCCCCGGGACTCGGGACATCCAGGATAAATGCAGTGTCAACCGGACACCCGTTTAATTAAGGGGCAGGAAATGTTAGGGGCAGGTGTAGGTGTAGATGATTAAGTGAAGGCAGGAAAGTTGGTGTCAGCTCCTGCATTTTTACGTATCAGAAATAGAAATAGGGTGAGGTGAAGAGCCACATGCAGCCAGCAAATTCCAATCACTGATACTCCAGTGTGTGTGCTGGGTCCTGTCCTGCCCCTTCACCCTCACGACAGCCTCCCAGGCCGGGTCTGCTACCGTCACATCTTGTGGCTGGATGCACATGGAAAGGTGTGCAGAGAGGCTGCACGCTGAGATCTGCCCGGGCAGGTGAGGGGTCAGAGCCCAGGCTGCCTGACTCACTGTGCTCTTCACCCATGCACAGTTCTGCTCCTGAAAGCACTTCCTACGCTGGTCTTTGGTTTAAAGAAAACGGAACTTGAGGAAAAGAAAGAGGAAAATATTGTAAAAGTACAATCTTCCTATGGCAGTGTTTTGCACATTTATAATCAAAGCTAGTTCACTCCTAGGAGTATATAAACAGTAAGATAATTTTTGATGACTGAAATGTGTTACTGAGGCTTGACACCAGAAGTGGAGGAAAGCAGTTGCAGAGAGAATTCACAAGAAGAGCTGTGTGCGGGGTCCAGAGGTGGAGCCTTGAAGGATCAGCTTCCTGTCTTCCTTCAGCTGCACAACACACCAGCCACTGTTTCCTGAACACACCTGCGAGCACATTTCCACTTGAGATAAACACTCTTGTTCCCCTACTTGCATGCCCACCCAGGGAACATAGTAGTCTCTTAAGTCTCTTAGCAATATTTCCTTCTTCTCCAGGAATTTAAATGTTAGCATTGTCATGTCTTCACAGAAAGTCACATCCAAAAAAGGAAATTTCCGGGCTCAAAGTTCTTTCTTATCTTGGAATAAATCCTGACCTCATCCCTTGTGCAACCTGGGCTGAAAAAAGGACTGTCTGCTAATTTTTAGGTTAGCATTTTTTAGGAACTAGCTGTTGAAAGGCCCAGAGCTATTCCACAAAAAGAAATTGGGTTCCCAGAGCAACTAGAATATGTTAAAATGTGGCAAGGATCAGGAAAGCAAGGCGTATCAGTGAGTAGAAATCACTGGCAGCTCACGGAGCTGGGGGGTGGGTGGAGGCCTGCGGAGTCATGGCACGAGCCACAGCTCAGTGCTGGGGTCTGAGGGGTGGGGTGGCTCTGTGTGCCCAGTGCTTTCCCAGGCACATCCATCCTGTCCCAGTGACATGTGACAAGCACCTGGCTTGGGAACAGAGACCGGTGGCCCCATGAAGGCGACCGGCGGGCCTGAGGCTGGTTGGCATATGGGGATCCCTTTAGAGGGTGGGAGCATACTTCTGGTAGAGGCTAACCTCCTGACTGGGCTGCCTGTACAGTTTGTTACAGTTGGTATATGAGAAGTGCCATCTGGTTGATTAACTCATGACCTAGGTAACTATGGGAGACTTGGAAATTATACTGCTTCAGCCTGAAACCCCAGACCACCAGTTTGTAACCTTTCTTTTCTTTTTTTTTTTTTTTGGTCTTTGCTAAAGAAAGACTCTGAACTTTGTTTTAAAACTTTTTTAAACCTCATTTTCGTTGATATTTTATATAACTGAATTCTAAACTAATAAAAATGAAATATTTTTGTTTCTTTTTAGAATTTCTCTGCAAAGAATGTCCAAAAATTCATATTCACATCGATCGTATAGACAAAAAAAATATCCCAGAAGAACAAGCATCCATGAAAAGATGGCTTCATGAGCGTTTTGAAATAAAAGATAAGTGAGTAATGACAGTTCTCGCCCTTCAAATAATTGGCTCAACTTGGCACTATAGTAAACAATGTGAAGCAAATTATTGTCATAAGAATGCTTTCTACAAACTCAAATCTCATTCCATGCTTCCGTCTGTTCATGTTTTAACCTTGACAGTTACAAGTCACTGTGAAAGATCTTGTTATGGGGGGCTGTCCATCATTATTTACCACATTTCAATAATTTGTGTAAGATGTAAAGTTTTTTTACAAAAAGAAACACACAGAAAGTCTTGCATTGTGATACTCCAGGCCTGGGTGAGGGTGTCTGGCCTGAGGGCTGGAGAATCCGGCCATGGGTGGAGGATGGTGCCTCACATGTATGTGGAACTGACCCCAGTGCATTTGTTGGAAAAAGAAGGGGCAGTTGACATTTTTGTGACTAAACTGTCTTTTTGCTGTTAATGTTTTGGTGCCTGAACAGTTTCTGGGATTGACCCGGTGTCTCTCCTGCTGAGTGCTGAGCATTACTCTAAGTACCAGGTGGGGGCCTCTGGGGGAGGGGGATAGCGAGTGAGACTCCCTGTGATTTACACAAATTCCTAAAAGTAGAAATTTTAGAATTTTGTTTTTAGGAAAATAAAAACTGAGCTCTTAGGTTTAGAAATTATATTTAGACATTGAATTTTCTTGGATGAAAACTTCAGGATATATTACTTATTCACTGTTGGTTTTGCTGTCAGTGGATATTTTTTCTGTTTTTTGAATGCCGTGTTTTAAATATTGATGGTTTTCCCTCTTCTTGAAAAAAGTGGACCTGTGAGTTATAGGATGCACCATTAAAATGATTTTTTTTAATGTCTACAAACTCCAATTAAAGCAACTCTTTGGGTATTTTCTTATAAGGACCTGTAACTTCTCTAACAGGCACCCAATGAATATTTGTTGAATTAAAATATTGAAATGACTAAATCTGAAAGTTAAAGCAGTTTTCATTTTCATTCTGGCTGTAGATTGCTTATAGAATTCTATGATTCACCGGACCCAGAAAGAAGAAACAAATTTCCTGGAGAAAGTGTTAATTCTAAGCTAAGTCTCAAGAAGACCTTACCATCATTCTTGATCTTAAGTGGTTTGACTGCTGGTTTGCTTATGACTGAGGCTGGAAGGAAACTGTATGTGAAAACCTGGATTTATGGAACCTTGATTGGCTGCTTGTGGGTTAGTATTAAAGCATAAACGAGTAGCTGTCTCCAGGCGGTGGGATGCGCTACGCTGTTTATTGTTGGTGGCTGCACGTTACATCTGATTGCTCCTGAATTTAATAAGAAGTGTAAATAAAGCCTTGTTGATTGAACATTGGATAAAATAGAATTTCTGACTAAAGCCAATATTCAGCTGGTCTTGGGCAAACATACATGGTTTTGCAACTTTAGTCCAGAAGCTGTTGGAAAGGGAAAAGGTAAACAGTTTATATTATTCTGGGCATTTCCTATGAAATAATGTCAACTGCAGAAGATTGTTAGGATTGTATAATTTGTTGTTGTGTTGTAATTCAAATAGCTGCATTCATGAACATTAATTTGCAATATATTTTACTGTATTCATTTTCTTTTTTTTTTACAACTTGACTGGGCCAATTCTTATCACTAAAGTACTTAGTGTCTTGCAACTGTGAAATATTTTGCCTTTTGTTTAATTTCTCCAAGTCAATGAAAGAAATTGTAGTTAAGAATCAAGAAGGGCACAAGGAAAGGGCCAGGGAATGTTGGTGGGACAAGCTCTGTGTTAGCACCGGCTATTATTGTATTGTGTTATTAGCTGATTTCACTTGATATTTGCAAAGTAGTATTTCTAATATTTACTGAAACAACTTCATTTGCACACCCTGTGCTCTATACAGAAGAATAATGTAAAAAAAAGAATTAAGTTAAAATTGTGATCCTGATTCATTGTAGTGGAACTTTAAATTGCTCAGCTTTTTGAAGATTTAGGCTAAGCTCCTAGAACTTCATGACATTTGTGCCATAAGTACTTGAAAACCTTAAGATTTCCTGTTATTTTTTATGTCGAAATAATCAGTGTGAACCTTTGTTAGACCTGAGTCCACATTTAAGATGGTGGGAGCTCTCAGACACCTGACTAGACTTACTAGCATGTGCCTTTTGCCTGTTACCCTTGGGTTCAGCAAAATGTCTAATCCAAAAATCTTGTTTTTATGTCATCATGGTCGGTTTCTGTTGTACTTGAGTTCCTTTTCTCCAGACCATCAGCAGAGGTGCTGTCCACAGCGGACGCGGGGCCTCACCCGGAAGTGCTGTGTCCTGACGCAGGCCTCACCCGGAAGTGCTGAGTCCTGAGGCAGGCTTCAACCGTTTAAGCTCTTGTGAGCCAGCCCACTGTCCGCAGCAAAGGCATTTTGTGGTGTTTTACGTCAAGAAGGCGACTTCTTGAATACAGACTTAATCCATCAGGACAGAATGAATTTGTTTAGTTCCCATTAGTGTTAATGGGGCCGCGTAATTCATCTGAGTCACCTGAAAAGAAGAGTGATCTTTCAGGAACCAGTCACACAATTTTCAGTCCTGGAACAACAAACCCTCAAGAAGAGGACCTTTTTAAAGTGTGATCTGCTCTACTTTTATGTTACAATTCAAGCTTGATTGCCTGTTAGTCCCTTAAGATACCCATTTTTGCTTCCAGGTAATGGATTTTTCCTGCAAAACTGTATCAGTGCCCCAGATGAAATACACCTCTTAAATCATGATAAAATAGAAATAATAATTAAGATAAATTTTGTCTGTTTTTCCAGAACCAGAGTAAGTTATTTCAAGAAACCCCTCTGAAGAGTTGGGTAGTATGAACTGGTTTGTGCATAGTTTAGTGTGTGTATGTATATACATACATGAGTGTGTAATGTGTGTGTGTACACACAGTCCCACAGGATACCATCAGCCTCATTATAAATGAAGGCGCAGGTAAAAGTTTTGTTCTTATGCCACACTGCAGTTTTCTGTTACCCTCTAAAGTGAAATTATGTCAATGCCATGTCTTTGTTAAAATACTCTTTAACAGTCCTAAATTTAGAAATATTTCTAATTAGATCACAATAAATGTAAATTGTGTAACTTATTTTGAATGTCATAGATATGCTCTAAATTTAAATTTTAAGAAGCAATACCACTGGAATTATGTTGACTGTAACTGATTTGAAGAAGGCCAAGTGAGCTGCACAAGATACTTGAACAGCATGTTTCTTATAACTATCGTTATATTTTTCTCACAAAAGGTCTATAAAATGTTCAAAATTTTTTTGTATCAAAATATTTCAAAAATTAGAAGCTTCTTTTTAACATGTATTGATATGACTTGAATTATTATTTTCTGAAATTAAGAACTCCATATACCAGTAAATCTTTTCACATAATATCATTTAAGGTTTTGTTTATATTATTGTTGACTTACAGCTAAGTTACTTGTTTTTTCTTTAAAAGACTGCAGTCAATGTGCATGCTTTTATCTTTTCCACAAAAGGATGTGTTTGGATGAAAGTAAAAGAGAATAAAATCTTTCACTGTCTCTGGTGTCCGTGCCATTTAACATTCTGTGACTCAAAAATTCACCAACGGTCTCTCTTTACATAAAATAGGCCTCGTGACTGGCCCTGCATTCTGAAATAGTTTTGAGTGATTTTTTTTAAGTATATTAAAATCTTGAAAATTGTGATACAGTGTGTTAATTTGGATATATAAGGTCATCCATATATTTTATAAGATGTATGAGTGAATGTTAGTCGCTCAGTTGTGTCTGACTCTTTGTGACCCCATGGACTGTAGCCCGCCAGGCTGTTCTGTCCATGGGATTCTCCAGGCAAGAATACTGGAGTAGGTTGCCATTCCCTTCTCCAAGGGATCTTCCCGATACAGGCAGATTCTTTCCCATCTGAACCCCCAGGGAAGCTTATAAGATGTATGGCAATTATTAATTTTGACAATTTTGTAATTACTAAGATACAACACTGAAATGTGTCAGATGCTTAAAATTAGCCAGGTTGGTGAGTCAAGTAAGAATCTGAACGATTCTTACATCACACATACTGGTGACTTCTTTCATCTGTAACATTTCCGTGTAATTTTTTTTTTTTCACTTTGCCATCTGAGCCACCAGGGAAGCCATTTTTCGTTGAGTGGTACAATTCTCCTTCATATCCAGATTCAGTTCATTTCAGTTCAATTGCTCAGTTGTGTCTAACTCTTTTTGACCCCGTGGACTGCAGCACGCCAGGCTTCCCTGTCCATCACCAATACCCAGGGCATACTCAAACTCATGTCCATCCAGTTGGTGATGCCATCCAACCATCTCATCCTCTGTCATCCCCTTCTCCTTCTGCCTTCTTTCCCAGCATCAGGGTCTTTTCAAATGAGTCACTTTTTCACATCAAGTGGCTAAAGTATTGGGAGTTTCAGCTTCAGCATCAGTTCTTCCAATGAATATTCAGGACTGATTTCCTTTCGGATTGACTGGTTTGATTTCCTTGCAGTCCAAGGGACTCTCAAGAGTCTTCTCCAACACCACAGTTCAAAAACATCAATTCTTCAGCAGTCTGCTTTCTTTATGGTCCAACTGTCAAATCCATACACGACTACTGGAAAAACTATAGCTTTGACTAGATGGACCTTTGATTTCAAAGTAATATCCAAGTACATAAATTTTATTGTTTCCTTCATAATGTTATATGGTTTGTACTTACCTTCACTGAATAAGTCCATATCAGTAAAATGATCTGAATAAATTGACCATTAAAACTAAGAAATGTTGTATAACCTTTGCCCATGAAGCATAGGTGCAAAGTAACTGCCAGATGTATAGCAAACTCACATTTGAGAAAATGGAGAAATGTCTGTCCTGGGATATAATGTGTACAATTGCAAATGTATACAGTAAAAATAAGCTGTAATCCTAATAAGATTTGTTCTTCAAGTGTTAGCTTGAGGAAGAGGTTTTCTTGGCACATATTCCAGATACCACCTTGTAGTAACTTACATATCTTTGCTTATAAGTAGGAATTTGAAGGAGGGACAGTCTCTATTATGAGTTATACCTACTTTTAAACTAAAGATTGGCTGACTTTGAATATTACATTACCATTTAGTATAACTGACTTTATAAACACAGTAACTGAACCTAACACCTTAACATAGATAAAATCTCCATTGGCTGAATCTAAAACTTATTATTCAGATGTTTAGGTGTGCCATTTTGCAATCACTTATCTGTGTCAGTTTAGAGTAGTTACAACATCACATTATCCCCAAGATTTCACTGATGCTTTTTCAAATTGGTGGATAGTTAAGTAAATCCATTACTTCTACTAACTGGGGAGACATTCTGAGACTATTTATATCTGAGGTCAGAGACTCAGTTGTGTCCAACTCTGCAACCCCATGGACTGAAGCACGCCAGTCTTCTCTGTCCATCACCAACTCCCGAAGCTTACTCAAACTCATGTCCATGGAGTCAGTGATGCCATCCAACCATTTCATCCTTTGTCGTCCCCTTCTCCTCCTGCCTTCAATCTTTCCCAGCATCGGGGTATGTTTCAAAGAGTCAGTTCTTCCCATCAGGTGGCCAACATATTGGAGCTTCAGTTTCAGCATCAGTCCTTCCAATGAATATTCAGGACTGGTTTCCTTTAGGATAAACTGGTTGCATCTCCTTGCAGTCCAAGAGACTCTCAAGGGTCTTCTCCAGCACCACAGTCAAAGGCATCAGTTCTTCTGCACTCAGCTTTCTTTATGGTCCAACTCTCACATCCATACATGACTACTGGAAAAACCACAGCTTTGTCTAGACAGACCTTTGTAAGCAAAGTAGTGTCTCTGCTTTTTAATATGCTGTCTAGGTTGGTCATAGCTTTTCTTCCAAGGAGCAAGCATCTTTTAATTTCATGGCTGTAGTCACCCTCTGCAGTGATTTTGGAGCCCAAGAAAATAAAGTCTGTCATTGTTTCCATTGTTTCCCCATCTATTTCCCATGAAGTGATGGGACCAGATGCCATGATCTTAGTTTTCTGAATGTTGAGCTTTAAGCCAACTTTTTCACTCTCCTCTTTCACTTTCATCAAGAGGCTTTTTAGTTC